GTGAAGGAGGAGGAGGAGGTGGGGTGAAGGAGGAGGAGGGTTATGACCTTCTCAGTCCTCCCTCACCTCCTGCCCCCACCACCCCACTACACCCTCAGCACGCCCCCACGCCCACGTAAATCAGATTAATGATCGTCACACACTCGCTTCACTACTGACGTCTTGTGTGTGTGTATTGTACTTATATGGAGCAGTGGGCGTGTGGAGGGTGTAACAAGCACGCCCACATTCCCTTGAGCTGTGGGCGTGTGGAGGGGTGTAACAAGCACGCCCACATTCCCTTGAGCTGTGGGCGTGTGGAGGGGTGTAACAAGCACGCCCACATTCCCTGCTGTGGGCGTGGAGGGAAAGCACGCCCACATTCCTGAGCTGTGGGCGTGCGGAGGGTGTAACAAGCACGCCCACATTCTGAGCTGTGGGCGTGTGGAGGGTGTAACAAGCACGCCCATTCCCTTGAGCTGTGGGCGTGTGGAGGTGTAACACGCACGCCCACATTCCCTTGAGCTGTGGGCGTGCGGAGGGTGTAACAAGCACGCCCACATTCCCTTGAGCTGTGGGCGTGTGGAAGTGTAACAAGCGCCCACATTCCCTTGAGCTGTGGGCGTGCGGAGGGTGTACAAGCACGCCCACATTCCCTTGAGCTGTGGGCGTGTGGAGGGTGTAACAAGCACGCCCACATTCCCTTGAGCTGTGGGCGTGTGGAGGTGTAACAAGCACGCCCACATTCCCTTGAGCTGTGGGCGTGCGGAGGGGTGTAAGCACGCCCACTGAGCTGTGGGCGTGTGGAGGTGTAACAAGCACGCCCACATTCCTGAGCTGTAGGCGTGTGGGAGGTGTAACAAGCACGCCCACATTCCCTTGAGCTGTGGGCGTGTGGAGGGTGTAACAAGCACGCCCACATTCCCTTGAGCTGTGGGCGTGTGGAGAGTGTAACAAGCACGCCCACATTCCCTTGAGCTGTGGGCGTGTGGAGGGGTGTAACAAGCACGCCCACATTCCCTTGAGCTGTGGGCGTGTGGAGGGGTGTAACAAGCACGCCCACATTCCCTTGAGCTGTGGGCGTGTGGAGGGGTATAACAAGCACGCCCACATTCCCTTGAGCTGTGGGCGTGTGGAGGGGTGTAACAAAGCACGCCCGCACGCCCTGGAGCTGTGGGCGTGGGTGACCTTGGTGAGACATTCATAAACATCCAACGGTTTGTGGTCCTTAAGGGCGTGATGGAGGCTGATGTGGGCCCCTGTGTTTGTCGGTGTGTTTGTTGTGTGTGTTTGTTTGTTGTGTGTTTGTGTGTTTTGATAGGTGTTTGTTTTTGTGTGTTATTGTTTATTTCCTTGTTTCTTTTTACTTATCCAATCTCTCCTGTTTGTTCGTCTTATTCTTTATTGTTTTCCTCCTTCGTTTATCATTCCTTCCTTCTCCTGTTCTCCATTCTCCCCTCCTTTATCTCTCCCTTATTTACCATATCTCCCCTCTTCCCTTCCTTCGTATTCTCTCTCTCTCTCTCTCTCTCTCTCTCTCTCTCTCCTCTCTTCTCCTTCCATCTTCTTCTCTTCGTTTGTTATTCCTTTTATCGTTGCCTACTTCCCTCCCATTATCACCCCTTCCCATTATCACCCCTTCATTACCCCCTCCCATCACCCCCTCCCATCACACCACCCCCTTCTCACCCCCCTCCCATCACACACCCCCTTCTCACCCCCCTCCATCACCACCCCTTCTCACCCCCTCCCATCACACCACCCTTCTCACCCCCCTCCCATCACACCACCCCTTCTCACCCCCCTCCATCACACCACCCTTCTCACCCCTCCCATCACACCACCCCTTCTCATCCCCCTCCCATCACCACCCCTTCTCACCCCCCTCCCATCACCACCCCTTCTCACCCCCCTCATCACACCACCCCTTCCTCACCCCCTCCCATCACCACCCCTTCCCACCTTCATCTCAGCAGAGGAGCGTAGGGAACTTACTACATACCGTTTCTTCCTGTTAACGGTGTCCATGTAGTGAACTTAACGGTACTAACGGATGAGTCTTGGTGCTTTTGTCCGTCTCCTGTTTTCTCCTGTTGTTCTAATCTGTTATCCTGTTGCTCTAATCACCTGTTGTCCTGTTGTTTCAATCATCTGTTTTCGTTCGTAATAGATTTTCAGCCATTATTTTTGCCGTTGTATTAAAAGAATATATATTGTACTGTTGTCGTTAACGGCCTGTTGGTTGGCTCTCTCTCTCTCTCTCTCTCTCTCTCTCTCTCTCTCTCTCTCTCTCTCTCTCTCTCTCTCTCTCTCTTCTCTCTCTCTCTCTCTCCCCCCATTGTTGACAAATACTGCCTGAATGATTGTGCCTTTGTCTTCATTCTTCCCCTTCTTTCTTCCTTCTATTGTCTTCAGGGTTCTTTCTTTCTTTCTTTCACTCTCATTCCATTTATTTGATCAGTTGCCATGGAGGGAGAGGAGGAGAGAGGGAGATGAAGGAAGGTGAGGAGGAGATGAGAAGGGAGGGTGGGGAGAGGAGATGAGGAAGGTAGGGAAGGTGAGATGAGAGGAGGGAGTGAGGGGAGAGGAGGAGGGAGGAGGAGGAGAGGAGGGGAGAGAGGAGGTAGGGAGGGAGGATGAGGAGGAGGGAGGGAGGATGGGACATGAGAGAAATAAAGGGTTAAATTTTGGGCTGTGTGAAGGGAATTAAGAGAGGGAGAGAATAGAGACAGGGAGAGGAGGAAGAAGTGCAGGAGGATGGGAAGGAATGGAAGGAAGAGAGGGAAGGGAAGTGAGGAAAGGGGTGATGGAAAGGGAAAAAGAATCAGAGGTAAGTGTGTGTTTGATTATTCATAGGGTGTAAAAGAGAAGAGAGAAGGAAGAGAAGGTCCACATAATTATCTTATCACTTCATCAGAGTACAAAGAGTCACTCAAATTGCCAATGACCTTTGACCTTGAACTATGACCCCCCTCTCCTTTACCTCCCTCCCCCACCCCCCCTTCCCTCTCACTTCTAGGTCACTCTCTCTCTCTCGTTTTCTCTTTCCTTATCTATCTATCTATCTATCTATCTGTCTGTCTGTCTGTCTGTCTGTCTGTCTGTCTGTCTGTCTGTCTGTCTGTCTGTCTGTCTGTCTGTCTGCGTCCGTCCGTCCGTCTCTCAACTTTCCTCTTTCAATCAATTTCTTTTTCCCCTCATTTTTTTTTGTCAATACCTTTGTCTCATCCTCTGTTCTTCCTTCCCTCTTCTTTCTCTCCCTCTTCTCCCTCCTTCTCTCCCCTCTCCCTAATCACTTTCATTTAAGCCAATCTTGTTTTCCCTCCTTTTTACTTCCTTTCGTAATTTTATTCACCCTCTGCTTTCTCTCTCTCTCTCTCTGTCTCTCTCTCTCTAATCCTCTCTCCACTCTCTCTCCATCGTCTTTATTCCTAGTTTTAATTCTCCTTCCTTTCCTTCTCTCTCTCTCTCTCTCTCTCTCTCTCACCCAGCATGAGACAACACTCATGCCTCTCACCCAGCCCTCGCCTCTTCCCCTCCAGGTGATGGTGTCTGTCTCCCCTCGTCTGGTCTCTTCCTCCTCTCTCCACTCCCTGCCCACCACGCCCTCCCTGCACCTCCACCCCCCACCCTCCACACACCTCCACACCCTCCCACCCCCCCCACCTGCCTCCATCCCTCGTGTCCCCAGAGGGTGAACTCCAGCAGGCAGGTCAGGAAGGTACTCCCGAGGGTCACTCACTGCTGACCTAATTAGTCCTCTCTCTCTCTCTCTCTCTCTCTCCTCTCTCTCTCTCTCTCTCTCTCTCCTCTTCTCTCCTCTCTCCTGGTAACCCTGACCCGCTGCAAGTAAAACCCACGCGTTTGAGGGCATAGTGAGTGTTGATTGGTCCTTCTCTTCTGCATATACCATAATAACCTAACCTAAGTCATTATACACTTAACAGTATCTCCCCTACCATCAACTATCATCCCTAATGGACCAATCAGCTCATGGCTAACCCCTAAAGCGTGGATTTGCAAACTCCCAAGGACCTGAAAACTTATAACTGGAAGACCCACTGGGTGAG